GGAAAAAGGTTACGGCGTTATATACGCACCACCACCTGATCAGCTGGTATATGATGATGATGTTGCCCACAGTGGCTGAAATATGATTCAAACGGCATTATATACACGTATATATGTATGTATATGAGATATGGAAAAAGGTTACGGCATTATATACGCACCACCACCTGATCAGCTGGTATACGACGATGATTTTGCCCACAGTGGCCGATATGATATGATGGGATGCCCTCAGAGGCTGATAATGTTATGAAATATGTACCTATGCATGACATGACATTCATACGCATATGCATGATACTATAATTATTTCATGATTTACAAGGTTATTCAGACTTACAGGTTGAGTCATGTACTCCATATTTCTTCCATGTCTGTTATGTACTTGTTTATGTGCCTTACATACTCGGTATATTTTTTGTACTGACGTCCCTTTTGCCTGGGGACGCTGCGTTTCATGCCCGCAGGTCCAGATAGATAGGTCGAGAGCCCTCCAAGTAGGTTATCGGCTCAGCGGAAGATGTTGGTGCTCTCCATTTGCTTCGGAGTTGCGTGTTTGATTAGTATGATTTAGACGTGTATTGTTTGGTATGGCGGGACTCTGTCCCGACCTTTATGATATTTATGTACTCTCAGAGGCTTGTAGACATATGTCGTGTACGTGAAAGATTGTACGGCCTTGTCGGCCTACGTTTTGAGTTTATAAATGATCATGTTGGCCTATTAGGCCCGTATGTCACGTGTATATGATGATGTAATAAGAAAGATACGTTACATTGGTACTCGGTTGAGTAAGGTACCGGGTGCCCGTCGCGGCCCATCGGTTTGGGTCGTGACAATAAGTTCAAGACTAGGAGTTTAATTTTTAACGGTGACACCTTAGTAGCATGCGTAGTAATAGTTAGTTTTTAACCATGTTCCATTAGTAACACCAAATATGATTTTATTTTAACAAATATAAGGGACTAAAGATGTCCAGAGCAATATTTAAAGGACAAAAATAGACATACTTTGGAATACGGGACAGTATTTGCTAAAAGGCTCAAATAGTGAACACTGGAAGATCATTAGTTAATCATTCCGACCTCTATCCAGTTGCCCCCTGAAACACAAACAACAGAACCTCTTCTTCGGTTAATGGATCTTCTTCAACCTCCTTGTAGCGCTTGCACTTCCCCTCTTCTACGGCGACTATCTTCTCTCAATTCCATCAACTTCTCTTTGAAATCCGTCAAATGCCGCTGCAAAACTACTCCGAAATTTCAAACTCCCGTCGCTGGCCAAAATGGTAGCAACTATTCTTCCTTAGTTCCCACACATAAAGTCACCGTTCTCGACCGCCAACGTGGCGTGGTTCACGAATTCCTCGTTCCCGAGGTACTAATTCCAAATACTTTTTCCTGCTAAATTCGTGCGTTATATTTAAAATTGTTACTTGAAGAGTTGAATTGGAATGCAGGACCAATATATATTGCGTACAACAGAGGCTCAGAACATTGCGCTACCATTCGCTTGCAGGCATGGTATTGGTTCATATCCTATGATCATGTTGGCCTATTAGGCCCGTATGTCACGTGTATATGATGATGTAATAAGAAAGATACGTTACATTGGTACTCGGTTGAGTAAGGTATCGGGTGCCCGTCGCGGCCCATCGGTTTGGATCGTGACAATAAGTTCAAGACTAGGAGTTTAATTTTTACCGGTGACACCTTAGTAGCATGCGTAGTAATAGTTAGATTTTAACCATGTTCCATTACTAACACCAAATATGCTTTATTTTAACAAATATAAGGGACTAAAGATGTCCAGAGCAATATTTAAAGGACAAAAATAGACATACTTTGGAATAAGGGACAGTATTTGCTAAAAGGCTCAAATAGTGAACACTGGAAGATCATTAGTTAATTATTCCGACCTTTATCCAGTTGCCTTCTGAAACACAAACAACAGAACCTTTTTCGGTCAATGGATCTTCTTCAACCTCCTTGTAGTGCTTGCACTTCCCCTCTTCTCTGGCGACTATCTTCTCTCAATTCCGTCAACTTCTCTTTGAATTCCTTCAAATGCCGCCGCAAAACTACTCCGAAATTTCAAACTCCCGTCGCCGGCAAAAATGGTAGCAGCTATTCTCCCTCAGTTCCCACACATAAAGTCACCGTTCTCGACCGCCAACGTGGTGTGGTTCACGAATTCCTCGTTCCCGAGGTACTAATTCCAAATACTTTTTCCCGCTAAATTCGTGCGTTATATTTAAAATTGTTACTTGAAGAGTTGAATTGGAATGCAGGACCAATATATATTGCGTACAACAGAGGCTCAGAACATTGCGCTACCATTCGCTTGCAGGCATGATATTGGTTCATATCCTATGATCATGTTGGCCTATTAGACCCGTATGTCACGTGTATATGATGATGTAATAAGAAAGATACGTTACATTGGTACTCGATTGAGTAAGGTACCGGGTCCCGTCGCGGCCCATCGGTTTGGGTCGTGACAATAAGTTCAAGACTAGGAGTTTAATTTTTAACGGTGACACCTTAGTAGCATGCGTAGTAATAGTTAGATTTTAACCATGTTCCATTAGTAACACCAAGTATGCTTTATTTTAACAAATATAAGGGACTAAAGATGTCCAGAGCAATATTTAAAGGACAAAAATAGACATGCTTTGGAATAAGGGATATTATTTGCCAAAAGGCTCAAATAGTGAACACTGGAAGATCATTAGTTAATTATTCCGACCTTTATCCAACTGCCCCCTGAAACACAAACAACAGAACATCTTCTTCGGTGAATGGATCTTCTTCAACCTCCTTGTAGCGCTTGCACTTCCCCTTTTCTCCGGCGACTATCTTCTCTCAATTCCGTCAACTTCTCTTTGAATTCCGTCAAATGCCACCGCAAAACTACTCCAAATTTCAAACTCCCGTCGCCGGCCAAAATGATAGCAGCTATTCTCCCTCAGTTCCCACACATAAAGTCACCGTTCTCGACCGCCAACGTGGCGTGGTTCACGAATTCCTCGTTCCCGAGGTACTAATTCCAAATACTTTTTCCTGCTAAATTTGTGTGTTATATTTAAAATTGTTACTTGAAGAGTTGAATTGGAATGCAGGACCAATATATATTGCGTACAGCAGAGGCTCAGAACATTGCGCTCCCATTCGCTTGCAGGCATGGTATTGGTTCATATCCAATGATCATGTTGGCCTATTAGGCCCGTATGTCACGTATATATGATGATGTGATAAGAAAGATACATTACATTGGTACTCGGTTGAGTAAGGTACCGGGTGCCCGTCGCGGCCCATCGGTTTGGGTCGTGACAATAAGTTCAAAACTAGGAGTTTAATTTTTAATGGTGACACCTTAGTAGCATGCGTAGTAATAGTTAGATTTTAACCATGTTCCATTAGTAACACCAAATATGCTTTATTTTAACAACTAGATATGGTTGCCCGTGCTGTGCACAGGCCCAAAAGGTACATCAACACTTCAAATGTAGGCCCTAAAATTCCATTCACTCTACTGAACTATTTCTTTATGATTTAATACAATGAAGAAAAATTGCAAATGTCTCTATGATGCTCAGACATGTCTTTCTCATCCAAACGCACCCATGCTTGAATTGAATCACCACATTTTCCTTCCAAAAGGCCGAGTGATAATTTCAGAAATGCTCAGTTGAATAGTTTCATACCTAGTCCATCTGCTACATATAAACGCATCAACCCCGTTGGCAGTGCTGGATATCAAGGATACCAAATCAAACCACTTTGTCTTGTCTCCTGGTGAGCAATAAATAGAATCCAAATATGGCCTGGTAGAAAAGCCTGTAATTGGCCACGTTTGGCTTGTGCTACTGATCAAACTCTTCCTTAATTATGACATCAATCACCACTGTTACTTCTGTCTTAGGCTGTATTCCTTAGCATTTTTATTAATATGTCTTTAAGTCCAGCTATGGACCCATCAAAACAAAAAACTTGTGGCTATGCTTCTCACTTCCATGCCTACAGCTAGCTCAACACTCAAATTTCTTGTTGAATGCAAAAATATGAGCTTTTCTAATAAAGAGAAAAGAAATCTATATGGCTCACATGATGATCCACCAAGTGCATTACCATACTGTTCATCCCTTCTCCCAAAATTTGGAAAAGCTAAAAAACAAATAATGGAATGAAGAAAAAGAAATACAGTTTATAATGCACTCAACTTCTCCTTCACCATTTTACACCTACATTCACCACTTCTGCAAATCTAAATTTCTGAGGTAAAATATTAAATTCGTTTGTAATATTATCAATTGTTTGCTTCATCAAATAACAACTTTCTTGCAATTGCAACATCATATGTATCGTTTGTGTTACTCCTTTATTCTCTCTCCCATCTTCATTTTACTTCTACCGAATTTATATATTATCTCTCATTGAATTAAAAGCTATTAAATAAAGTGCCAAAGCACTAATAAGTACCGGAAAAAGAATAAGACAGAATCTAACAAGCCAGGAAAAATAAACTTGATCTCAACTTCCTTAGTATCCTAACACTACAAAAAACTGGGGTAATTGCGCCAGTCATAGTTACTTATAGTGGCGGTTAAGAACCGCCGTTATTATCATTAATGGCGTCCAAGATAATCGCCGTAATCGCTACCACCAAAACGTGCGGTTCAAGGCGAACCGCCGCAATATGTAGATAAAACCGCCGCAATATGCATATGTAAATACGGCTGTTTAATTTGCTTATTGTGGCGGTTAGGTTTGTAACCGCCGTAATTGCTGTCCCTTTCAGATTTTGGCCATTTTATACTGCCATAATTGTAATATTTTTAATGTTAATTTTTCAATTCCAATCCTTTATCCTTTCTACTGCACAATATCCGTCATAATATGTTATCAAGCACCCATCATAATAATTAACATAAATTATAGTAGAGACTTAGCAAAATATTCATCATATTAAAACATACCCAAAATCCACATCATCCAAGATTCAAGTTTAAGGTGTAGAGAGTTAAGAGAGTTACTCAATAGTTACATCATCCAAGATTCAAGTTTAAGGTGCAGAGAGTTAAGAGAGTTACTCAATAGTTACAACACAAAAAAACATAGTTCATCCTAACAATGATTACTAATTGTTGCCTGCTCCATTTTCATAGTTACTTCCGTCAAAGGATCTTCTAGGCCCAGTTGGTGACGGAACGCCATCTCCTAGATTGGGTGCCTGCATAACATAACATTAAGTAATTCAAATTGTATTGTACAATACCATGCATAATGAGCAAATAAAGTAAGCGAAGACTTGGAAGAGTCGACCCAATATCTATGGAAAGACTTCCTTTAAGTTGGTTAACTGGAGCAGCAAAATGATAAAGAGATGATAAGTTAAAGAGTGAAATGGGAATAGCACCAGAAATCATATTAACACCAAGAGAAATATAGCTCAAGCTAGTCAATCGAGCCTAATGAATATGGTATACTTCCTTCTAATCTATTCTCTGGTGCTGCTAAGGCAATTAGAGATGAAAGATTACCTAACGAATATGGCAACTCTCCTGTTAAATTATTTGATTTAAGAAATAGAGGGTTCTTCCATCCAGACCATCACCATAATCTTCTAGGACATGTAGGAACTCTTTTTGTTATGGAGCAAAAATCATGTTAGTAGAACATATTTCATCTAACTGCATGACATCAAATGTTCAGGTGTGGATCCTCTTCAATGAAGGCAGGGTTTTGGAACTAATAAATGCACATCTAAGGGAGTCAAGCAACCTGTCTCAAGTGCAAAGATCATTCCATGTAGGTCTATTGTGTGTGCAGCAATGTCCAGACGATAGGCCTAGCATGTCATAAATCTGAAGTTCACCTATTGATAAAGTAGTCTTGCTGAAGACACCTGAATCGGATGTACCAGATAATAAATTGCGATCACATGCCATCTCACATCACACAAGAATATGAATATAGGCATTTAAGGAAGCACGTAAGAACTGGGCAAACATGACAAACAAGACAATTACATGACTTGATAATACATTTCATTAGACACCCAACAACACCTTTCCTCCATCCTGTCAATGTTCATAAAGCCTTCCAGATTAAGAATTCAATTTCTTCAACACTATTTTCATCCGGAAAAGATCATCATTCTTCAACTAATTGATTCAGTTCAGTAAGATCTCCTAACAAATTCTAACACCTAAGGTCCTAAGCTGGTGCATTGTATAAAAAATTAAAAACAAGTTCCAGTATTGGCTTACAGACCACATAAAACAAAATCCATGTGTAAAAGAAAATATTGGGATCACGGTGAACCTAAATTGTAGGGTCAAAATTAACTCTAATTCACTACTTAGCATATTATTAGAAATGAAAAACCAGAGTGTGGAATGTGGAGAACTGTACGTAAAAGACTAGGTAATTAGTTAAATTACCTGTGAAGGAGTCGGAAATAAGTGAGCAAACTCCTCGGGGATATTTCCTATTTTCATTTGAAATAAGCTGGTTAGCGCATTTAATTGTGATCTCATATTTGCCATCTCTTGCACCCATTGTGGAGGTGGAGCACTAGTGCTAGCTGCGCCCATATAAGAACAACCACCTTGTCTTGATGTTTGCTTGAATACTACAGTTGGAACTGCACCCATGCCTAAGCCTCGAACACGGCCAGGGTGCTCGGGACCGAAGACTACACCAAGCGCGTCATTCGGTGAAATTTCTGCCCGAGTTTCTGGTCTCTGTCTTCGAATTTCTTCAATTCTTTCCTACAAGAGAGACAAAATATAATTACAAAAGCTAAGGATCGAGTCAATGGGTAGATTCTGAAGTGCACAACTTTTTAAAAGAAGCAGGACAAACTAAAGCTGCTGGAATTTCTGTTTTGCAGACAATGTATCAGCGAGAATGGACAGGAGTTGCAGATATTTTGGGCAGAAGATCAGCGAACTGCTTAATCTGCAGCTTCTATCACATTCAACAACTCTCACTGTTGAATTTAACAGCAGAAACTGGACTACCCTTCACATTGCAGGATGTATGCCGCAATACACTACTGAAATTCCAGTTTAGGTTAAATTCCCTAAGCTTCAGTTAATCCCACAGTTAAACCAGACAATGCAATACTCAAAAATGTGCAGAATTCTCTCAACTGATCAGAAAAACTAGAGCCAAACTGCGCAGAAATTTCAGCTTAATTTACTCCTCAACTTCTCCAGAAATTGTGGCAAACTTCAACAGATCAAGCTTCAGAATATCAAACTCTTAGCGCACAGAGAACTGGTGTACAATACAGAAATTGACTGTCAAACCACTGCCCCAAACTCAGAAATCTAATGCCAAAATTGTTACAGATTCACCAATGTGTCCAACTCAGCCGATAATATTCAACTTAGCAGAACTAACATGATCAGAATATGGAATGCAGAAAATAGTGATAGACACTTACCCCAATCTCCCTAGCTTGATCATTCACATAACTCCCATCTTTCCTCTTATGAGTCTCAGTCCACACTTTGCCGCGATCAACTTCTTTTCCCTGTTTCTTCTGAAAGTTTTAAAAAGTAAAATTAAACTAAATAACTCTTGTCACATTAAAGCGACAGTAAGTACGTCGTATTAAACAACCATCAAAGCCCTTCTTCTAGCCAAACTCATAGCACCACTAGTATGGGGAAGTGTTTGTTGTCCTCGAATCCATTGATTTCTCAAGCAAAGCGCCTACGAGTCAAAAAGGGAAAAAAAGAAGTCACATCAGTGGCAGAGAAGAAGCAGCAGCAGAGACAAGTAGTGAAACAAGAAGAAGAACAACAACAACAACAACCTTTGTTTCCTCTTTAAAACGATAGTTAACAAACAATGCCCATTGGTCCATGGGAATGCCTTCTGGAACATTCTTGATGATATCCTCTTTACTCAACAATGGATCCTCAGCCCCATGATATAGTTTAAGCCTGAATTCCTTCCACTTTTTGTTAAGTGAATTGTTAATCCAACCTTTTACCTTTTGCGGATCACTCGTAAAGGAAAACCGAGACTTTACAAAAATAATATATGTTAGTTTACTGCTGACAGAACTATAACATACAAACTAAGCAAAAGAATTAAAAGGCATTACCATTACGAATCATTAAAAGCACGGTTCACAAAAGGCTTAGGCATGGATGCCCAACTCTCGAAGCCAATAGGAAAGTATTGAGGATTTGTAGCAAGCTGCCCCAAAAATCCTGCAAGAAGGCCGGCTGATTTTCCAATAGGTTGAGCAAACTCATCACATTCTACAATTATACGCGATCCATTCTCCAAGTTATGGACATCCTGAACCTTCAACCTAATAGATTTTATCACTTGACGTTCATCTGCAACAAAATAAAGAACATATAAAAATATTAATCGAGGAAAACAAAATCATTTATAATTCATATGTACCTATAAACATCGACAACCCAATCACGAGGCTCCGAGTCATCTGTAACTCGTCTACGTGTAGTTGGTTGTGAAGAGACTCCATCAGATGATGAAGATGGAATGCCATTCTGTGACGAGACTCTATTAGTTGATGAAGCTGGAATGCCATTCTGTGACGAGACTCTGTTAGTTGATGAAGTTGGAATGCGATTCTGTGAGGAGACTCTATTAATTGATGAAGCTGGAATGCCATTTTGTGACGAGACTCTATTAGTTGATGAAGATGGAATGATGGGTTGTGTATGACGTAAAGAGTCTCGATCAGAAGATGAATATGAAGCTTGAGCGTGAGACTGAGCATGTGATGACTGCTCTGGAGCAAGTGAAGAGCTCCCTTTGATTGATTTGAACAGATTTTTCACCCGATTTTGCTTCGGCATCTCTACATATATACATGGTTGAACAAAGTGATTAGTTAGGACCCCAACAGCTCTACATATATACATGCATCTGGAAAATGTTTTGGACAACTAGTTATTCTGTTATTATCACAGAATTCAAATACCGACAGGAATAATCCAAAACCTTTGTTGTTTCCCAAGAAAGGAATTAAGTGGGAATAACAAACACAAAAACATGCTTTCCACGATTGAACAACTCGACCAATTGAATTTGTTCCACGCACACAACATTAATCCCAAACTTCTGAATTAAAATTTCTGCTCTAAACACCATTAAGAAACAAAAAGCCACACAAGAACATGGGACACCAATCAAACCTCAATCAACAAACAAAGAACCTTATGCATCTGCTAAAACCTCTACATTCAATTCCAGTTCTATTATCACCACAAAACAAAAGGCCACACATGCATGCATATGATGTAATGGTATTCTTGCATTTCATGCCAAGAACTTGAGTTGTACCTCTTCTACTTCTCCTGATGAAGAACAAGAATATGTATTAATCAAAGGTAAGGAAGAAGTAGAAGAGAAAAAGAAGAAGTTGCACAAGTAGAAGAAACTGCAGCATGTTTATTATCAGATACAGATGCTGTAGCATGTCTCCTCTCTATTACTTAATTACACGCCCATCAATAGACCCATACTCAAAAGCAAAATCCAGAAATTTTCTACGCCCATCTGCGTATTCAAGTGTATTTCGTGGTTTGCTAATCCAAGATTTATCAATTGGCATGGCTAGAAAAGAAGATAAGATAACATCACAATATCAAAATGAAAAAGCTAGTTCATAGCCACTATATGAAAATCAAAAGAATAATAATCACTTAATCAAACATTTAAGCTTGTTTTTTGGTTTACTAATCTTACCTTGGAGGTGAGCTCATCTAAAGCTGGGTAAGCAGCGGTCTCTAGTTCTCGTGTCTGAGTGTCAAGATAACTGCATACACCTACTAGTGCTACTTCTAAAGCTCGAAATTCAAATGGAAACTCTGCATGATATCCACAAGATAACATTAGTCAATTAGGATCTCAAGATAAACAATCCAAAAGAACATGTAGTAATCAACGACATAGAGAATAAAGGAGCACAAAAAACAAGAAAAAGCAAAAGAAAAGTTGGTTAATAAAAGCAACAAAAGAGCTGGAGTTTAACTCCCATACATTGATAGTAAAAGTGTGGGATTAGTAACCTTAAAAAATTAGACAAGTATCTTCTATAATAGGGTTAAAATACATTACGAGAGTAAATTTTTTAACAATCAGTATCTATAAGTTAATTAAATCCAAAGAATTGTCCATTTCAGGTACATACCAGTAGGTTCAACAGTTTGCATTTCATTTCGTGTCCCATTAACAGCTGTTAAACACACAAAGAAGTACTTTGATCCAGAGAAGCAACACACTCCCTTAAATGTTTAAACCAGTGAAATCGACGGCTGAATCAAAAAAATTGACTGCCAAACGGTGAAATTGATGGCTTAAGCAGTGAATCGACAGCTAAAATCAGTGATTTAAACTGATCTTCGTCCAATACACGCACATGCACGCCTAAAATCAATGAAATTAATGGCTAAATCAGCAAAATCGAAACCTAAATCAGTGAAATTCACGGCTAAAATCAGTGATTTAAACTGATACCCATCCAATACACACACATGCACGCCTTAAATCAGTGAAATCAACGGCATTTTGAAAGGAATTACACGAACGACTTGAAACCGGATTATCAGAAAAGGGCTATCGTCTCAAACGCATTACCTTAAACAACTTGAAATCTGATCTCCTTGCATAAAAGCTATGGCGAAACGTCTGTTTATTTAGACCTTAAACGATTTGGGGGAATGAAATTGATACATATTTATCTAGGGCTTTAGAGAGAAAGAGAGAGGTGTAGAGAAGGTCTGTGGTTTAAAGAGAAAGAGAGACCGTCTGTTTTGATGGCATAATGTTTTTGATAAAGTTCTTAATATTAAACATTAGTGGCGGTTTGGAACCGCCGTAATTGTAAAAAAAACGCCATTTTAACATACGCACTAATGGCGTCTGGAACGCCGCCGTATTATGATTTATATTGCGGCGGTTTTGGCAAACCGCCGTTATTTAACCGCCGCAATAATTCCGGTTTTTTGTAGTGATAACAGATGAATAGATCTAAAGCTAGGATAATACCCACTCTACTACCCTGAAGCCCCAGCTAATCTCAAATTTGACTTAAAAGATAACGGAAGAACACCTTCAGATCAATTTTGTGGATGCATGTGCTCCAAAGTTTTTCAATTTGTGCTAAATCTGTCAAAATTTAGATTTAACCACACACTTCACAAATATTAAGGTTTAAAGTACTCCAAAAGTAAATCATATATTAAGATCAACATTTTGCTTCAAGTGAGATCAGAAAAGTAAAAATCATTTATTATTTTGTTCATATTAAAATAATTATTTATTCAGCAAAAAAACTTATTACACCATTTGAGATACTTATTTAGAACCACATAACATCGTAGCTTTGCATCTCTGGGAACTATATTGTTTTTGTGTTAATTTCACTAACACAAATCCATGTCAACCCAAGCTCATTACCAGAAAAGAAGTAATACAATAAAGTAAAATCACAAGTCCGCAAATCTAAAGTCCAAAATTTAGATTTATGTTTTCTCTTTGAAAGTTATTTGTTATGTTTAATTACATAACCAAAATAGCAACTTCTATATAAAGACATGGCTCATTAATTTGTAAAAGCTCTTTAGCATCAAGGAACTTACCACCAAACAGGTTTGCACCCCTCTTCTGCAACAAACTGAGTTCATGGAAGACAGATATGCTCATACTGGTTATTTTTCTGGAGAAGGAATAGACAAGAACTTGACCCTAGGTAAAAAAAAAACACATTTAACTTTTAGCAGGTGAAAGATGCAAAAATATAACGATTAAAGCACATTTTCAGTGTCTCGGTAGGAGATAATACCTTTGGCCTCAGAATATCCAAACTGGATTTTGGCATGTCTTCATGATATGCTTCCTTTTACTGAGGCATATGTCGAACATGACTAACAAACTGGAAGGACCACAAAATATTTGTAATCCATAATTTCTCAGTAATCTCAAGACCAACTTAAAAGACCGTAAATCAGAATATGCATGTACAAAATCGGGTGGAAAAATATTTAAAAAACTGTAAGAAAGAAAATACATGAAAATGGAGGAAAATTAACACCCAACACTAACTAACATTTATATATTGCATCGGAACAGAGAAAATAGAAGGGGGAAAAGAGTTGAGTCTTACATGCAATAAATACGTAGAAAGTTGAGTCACTTTTAACATTATGTCTATGGCGGACGGCAAAGAGTGTTTGAAGACTCTTCTAAAATTGTCTTTGATTATGCTTATCATGGACGGTTGAAGCAGAAATTAGAAGCACGAAAAGCAACCCAAAGAAAAAGGACAAATAGATAGAAAGAGCTAAACAACAGTCTAATAGAAGATCGGCAGGAGCAAAGCGATGGTCTTTCACTGAAAGAGGGAGAAGAGAACGATCAAGGAGCAGTCTCAAGTTCAGCTGAATTTTCTGGAAGAATAAAGGGCATCTAATGTAATAAATTCATAAAGTAAGGGCAAAAATGCGTCAATAATAATAATAATAATAATGAAGTGGCTAGTTTATGTATGACAAAGATGACGTAGGCCTTATTTGTTTTTTTTTAAGATTAAGAAGTCTGAATCTGAACACGCATCTGAATATCAAGATGTGTATTAAGATTAAGACATTTGAATCTGAATATATTAAGATGTGTATTAAGATCTGAATAGAAATAATTAAGACTGTTTGATTTTTAACATCTGAATGTATAAAATTTATCTTTATTTGAAAATTAATAAACATAAAATTCAAATGAAATACTAACTAATCTAATATTCTATCAATAAAATATGTAGTTTTTTAAAATATGATAGTTGTTGGTGGTGATGGCTAACGGGTGAATGCCGACTACAAGCGGTGGTTGGTGGTATTTTTGGTTGATGATGGTGGTTCATGCTAGTAGCTAGTAGTGATTGGTAGTGGTGGCGATTATGATTGAGGATGGTGGTGGTGGGTGGTGATAGTTAATAATGTCGGGTGGTGGTAGTAGTTGTGATTGAGGAAGGTGGTGGGTGCGTGGTGGTAGGTTATATTGATGGGCAGTGCCGGCTGTGGTTGTTGATGGTGATGGGGTGGTCAGTTGTGGTAGTTGAGGCGGATGAGTATTGATTGTGGGTGAGAATGATGGTGGTCGGAGTGGTGTGGATAGTATGTGGTGATGGTCGATAATAGAGGCTATGATTAAGGATGATGGTGGCGTGGTGGTGGGGCAGAGGTGGTGGTGGTGGTGGGGGGTGGTGGTGGTGGTGATGGTTGAGTATGGTGGTGGTGGCGGCATGGTCGTAGTTGATAATGGTAGGCGGTGGCAGCAGTTAATAATGAATATATGATAGCATCTTAATGAAATTAAGTCTCTGTTATAGATCTTAATCATACAGACCTATTCAGACTCATTAAGTGGTTGTGAAGTAAAAAAAATAAACACACTTAATGATTAAGATCTGAATAATTAAGATTCAGACTTTAAAAACAAACGCACTTAATGTCTGAGATCTGAGTGATTAAGATTCAGACCTCCATTAAGTGCAAACAGATGAGGCCGTAATTCCAGAAGCTTGAGTTTACCGTTTTGCCCTTGGTCGGCAGTATTTGCAAATAGTGAACACTGGAAATCATTAGTTTTATTCCGACCTTTATCCAGAAACACAAACAACAGAACCTCTTCTTCCGTCAATGGATCTTCTTCAACCTCCTTGTAGCGCTTGCACTTCCCCTCTTCTCCGGCAACTATCTTCTCTCAATTCCGCCAACTTCTCTTTGAATTCCGTCAAATGCCGCCGCAAAACTACTCCGAAATTTCAAACTCCCGTCGCCGGCCAAAATGGTAGCAGCTATTCTCCCTCAGTTCCCACACATAAAGTCACCGTTCTCGACCGCCAACGTGGCGTGGTTCACCAATTCCTCGTTCCCGAGGTACTAATTCCAAATACTTTTTCCTGCTAAATTCGTGCGTTATATTTAAAATTGTTACTTGAAGAGTTGAATTGGAATGTAGGACCAATACATATTGCATACAGCAGAGGCTCAGAACATTGCGCTCCCATTCGCTTGCAGGCATGGTATTGGTTCATATCCAATAATTTACAATAGCATTCCCCCCCCCCCCCCCCTATTTATATGTTAGTCTATTTCTTCTTGCATATTTAAGCTGCTATTTTATGATACTACTTGAACTACTAACAGACTGTGAGTATTGGAATGGTTTGAGTTAACTGAAGGTTTACTGGTTTTTAAAAATTGGGGCTGGGCATTTGGCAGTTAAGTTTTGGCTTGTTATAGTCATCTTACCTTTTGGTAGGAAAGCTTTTGTGGGATTATAGATCTCCACCAACTTTTACACAAAGATTTGACTTGTCAGGATCTTTCCATGCTTAAACCTATTAATGAAGCTGTTATCTCTCTCTGCTAACTTTAAAAGGAGCGGGTTTGATTTTCACTAAGGAGTACCATGCACTTTGTTTGTGGTTTGTTTTTGATGGATTATTATGAGCAGCGGAAACAATCCCAGTATCAAAATCACATGTAATCTAAATAACTAGTATAAACGGGATTTCACGGGTTACCTCTTGAAGCGTGAACACGACTCTTCAGTCACGTGAGCCTTCAATTTCACATCGTCTCGTTGAAATCTCCACCACCCGCACGATCGCGATTTCCGAACATTCCACGGTCTTCTACTGTGTTACCCGAATAATTTCCGGAAATAGTAATTTCGTGTGGACGAAATTTTCTAGGAAAATATGGCTGAAATTCGTCCATTATTTCTCTCTTCTCTAGGTGGAAAACCTTTTGTATTTATAGCATAAGTTTTAAGAGTTAAAACCCTTTTTCCAAAACCTGTTAGGTTTTCCTTTACACCAGAAAAATGATTCCTTTATTTCCAGTTATTTAGGCACAGCAAGGACCACATAACTTAATTAACAAGGCTTCCAATTATGAAATTAATTTATAATTTTCGAAATTAATATCCACCATAATTAATTACGAATTATTCCACTAAAAATCCGTAATTGCACTCCTTGTTCAATTTCGAAATTCATCCATTAAATCTTATTTAGCTTCCCATGTTAAGATTCATATACTAATCAATTAAATTAAATTAATGACGATTTAATTTATTGATTATTTTCTTTAGACTTTCGCTTAACTTATTTCATGTGTCGGATACAAAATTCATTGGTCGGGTTTACACATGAAAACTTATAAGCTTTCATAAAGGTGTATCATCAATCTCTAAACCGAGACATAGATTCCATCAACTAACTATTACTTCGTCAATGTACATTATTATTGTCCAATTTAGAATCTCGCCTTTTAATAAAGCAAAACAATAATAATATATACAACTAATAATAATTATTTCAAGATTAAAAGTATAAGTACATTTAATGGCTAGAGGGTTTATTTTATTAGTCAGTATAAAATACTTATCTCTACTTGGCCCGTTCAATACATACAAAATGTACTAGCACAAGAAGGTGGAATTAAACAATTTCCATAATCAAGATAAATTATATTTAATCTTGTGCTACAATCATTCCTGATGGTTTGTCCAATTCCATCATTAGATTGTGAACTCAAACTTTATACTTATAAGAACCGATGATTTAATCTTCCGTGTATAAACTATACTCTATACACTAAATCATCTACTATATAAGCAAAGGACAGAGACTAATATATGATCTATTTAAAACTTTATTTAAACTGAATAAACAATTATTTCATAATAAATACTATATCTAAACCAAAACTCATGTTTAATAGTATATATCCCAACAGTTTTAACCTTAAGGTTCTCTTTCGTTTGTTTCTCACAAAATGCACATTTCTCTTTGATCTAGGGTCAAATGCATTGGGGTTTGATTGTGTAACTTTGACCTTTAACCGTTAGCCTCTTTTTCATCAGATTTTCTCCATATGATGGTCTTGTTACATTTTTCTAATTTAATAATCCAATATGTTGAAGGATGTTGTACGAGCTGTGCTGTTCGTGTAAAATCAGGGCAACTTAGACAACCGGAGGCACTGGGGATTTCTGCAGAGTTGAAGTCTAAGGTACTTTAAATCACGTTGAGCTTCTGTGGATGCAGTTCTTATTTGCTTTTATTGTTTGACTGTCGATTCTTGGTAGTTTTGATTGTTTCTCCTTTGTTATACCTTAAATGTAATTTTTCTCTCTTTTTTATGCTAATATAATTGATGTAACTGATCAAAAAAGAAATGATATTTATGTGATGTGACAAGGAATTTTTTGGTCTCGAGACTGATAAAGCATGCAAACCTTGTCTGCATGTTATTTGTCCATGAAACAATGACGAGCTTTTATTCCAAAAGGTTTTGGAATGTTTTGAAATTCCTCGTGACATCAGACATGTGATGCAATTCATTTTCCTTATTTAAAAAATCATATATGTGATGTAACTAGGAATTTCTTGGTCTCAAGAGTCGAGACTGATGAAGCATGTGAACTTCATCTGCACGTTATTTGTCCACAAAACAATGGAGAGATGTTGTTCCTCAAGGTTTTGGAAGATGGAATTCATAAACTTCCAGCTCAAGCTAGTAACTCCACTGTTTTCATGTGATACTCAATGACAAGATGACTGACGAAATGTTTCATTAGTTCGTTAATAATCCCTCTTTGCAACTATTTGGCCATGACTTGGAGATGTACCTTCCATGCTCAACTCCCCATCTTCTCAAAAAAAAAAAATGGTCTTATCATTAATTCTTCTTTCATTAGACTTATAAGAGATCTGATGGTAGCCATTAGTCTGTCAAATCCTATGAGCCAAAATACAGGCTCGGATCACAATGATTGAGACCTATTAGTTAAGGTTAACAGATGAGGTACAGGGTCTTCGGCTCTTCGCAGAGGTCCGCGTTGCTAATACCTGAAAGAAGTCCTGGCTTTTTACATGTATCTTGAACTAGATATAAGCGAAGTGACGGTCTTCATTTTACCTGTCTTCTTCTGCCTTTTTCCAGGATTAATCGAATATGCTTTGATTTGTAGGGTTATGCACTTCTTTGTGTGGGATTTCCGTCATCTGACCTTGAAGTTGAAACACAGGATGAAGATGAGGTAATTAACCACTTGGAATTGCAAAAGTTTGGCTTTGGGTGGCAATAAAGAGCAAATCTATTTGACCAACCATTACCATCTAAATAATCATTTGACGTCCACCTTTTATAGGTTCAGTTTGGCCTATGAAGCATGGGTACAAAATATATGGCTGCATACTAGATTCATACCTTTGTTAGGAATCAACAGTTGATGACCCTCTCTGGATACTTACTGACGATATCCCAATTTTCTTCTTATGTTTTTCTGTCTTTTCAACTTCATGCCCTTAAGCAATTGAAACTTAAGTTGCTCGGACATGGGTGTGGGTATCCGACACGGGTGCGGATCTAGAGGTCGGATC